CCATGAGTATATTTCTTACGTTCATTTTTTAATTTTTTTAGTTCAGATAAAAATTTTGATTTAAATGGAGAACTTTTTTTTTTTAGTTTGGAGAAGTTAATGTTACATTTTGAATATTTTAGTTTATTAAATTTATTAATCAGTGATCAAGAAAATCTTTATTGAAAGAAATATGGTTTGAAAATTTTATAAATATAAAATTATGTTAAGTTATTGAATATTAGTTAGAAAATTTCAAAATATATTTCGTAACTATAGTATCCAAAAAATAAATTTTTATATATTATTTTGATTTTGATTTTTAAATAAGTTTTCTCTTTTATTTTTGTCAAAAAATAATTTTTATTTTTTTAATTACCCAACTGCAAACGCTCGAGGAAAACAGCTTTTGATGTTGAGAGGTTTGAAGCGCGACACAGAACGGTATAGAGCGTTTCTCATGATTGTTGTCAAACACCAATAACTGCTAGCACCTGCAAACACAGCGTTTGCGGATGGTAGCAGATAAACCAATCAAGCTCTAAATCTATCAAATTGTTGAATTGTTCGCTAAATAGTATTTCTCAAATTTTATGTATAAATATTTTGTGTACATACATGTTTAAATATTATTCTATTTCTACCGTTTTCTCAGACTTACAAATGGCAATCTATATATGTGTGTTTTTGGCCTTTGGTTACATCTAGATCATATTATGTTTTGCTTAAAAGATTTAGTAGCCATGCATACAGAACAGAAGGTATATTTACAAACAGAGCTGAGTTTACCTTGTAAGAAATTAAGAACAGAACATTCGCTACATATTTTATATGATGATCGATGAACTGTTGGTGTTTGACATTAATTACATTCTGAGGAATGCCTTCTCGAATTGAGTCCACTTTTGCTCCAACGTTCCCACATACCCAACCGACATTCGTACGAGGCCCGGAGAGATGCCTGCGGCTGCCTTCTGGTCGGGGTCGAGCTCGCTGCTGGTGCTGCTTCCGGAGCAGGACATGAGGGTCTCGTAGTAACCCAAACTGACGGCCATGAGACCGAATTGCGTGGCGTTCTGGAGATACGTCATGAGCTTGTTGGCTCTCTCCTCAGTCTCCATGTCTATCGACAACAATCCTCCGTATCCGTACTCTCTGTTCACCATTCTTCTGGCTAGCTTGTGCTGCGGGTGGTCCTCGAGTCCAGGGTATATCACTTTCAAACCTAGCTCCTTCATTCTCTCCGCATACACTTGGGCCCTGCGGCTGTGCTCTCTCATCCGCAGAGCCAGGTGAGGTATCCGCTCGGACAGCTCGAAAGCCACCTTGGCGTTCATGGTGGGACCTAAAAGCATCAGAGAGCCGCCACGCAGATCCATCATCCCTTTCACCAGCTTCTCGCTCCCACACACAGCCCCTGCTTATTAGGTCACGACAAAGACACGTGTACGGTCACAGGCTCCATCACGTGAAAGACATAACAGAAATAAAGTAAATGGCGACAAAGTAAAGTCACGTTACCTGCAATGATGTCGGCCCCACCGCTGATGAACTTGGAGATGCTATGAACCACCACGTCGGCTCCAAGCTTAGCCGGAGACAGCACCATGGGGGTGAAGGTGTTGTCCACCACCACCGTCACTCCCTTGTCGTGTGCGATACGGCTAAGCTCCGGTATGTCGGCCACAGTGAGCGTTGGGTTAGCCATGGCCTCAAAGTAGAGGACCTGCGTCCGACCCTCCACGATCGCGTCAGCCACGGCTTCGTGGTCCGTTATGTCGACGAAGGACGTGGTTATGTTGCAGGTCCGTGGCAAAAAATGAGTAAGCAGAGCATGTGTTCCTCCGTAGAGCGTCTTGGACGCCACCACGTGTCCACCGCTGCTGCACAGTTGTAGCATCACCGAGGATATCGCCGACATACCTGAAGGCCGTCCCAATGAATATTAATTAATTCTCATGTTTGCTTTTTTTCCATATTTCAAACGTTAAAGGTTGAAGTCCTACCAAAAATTCCGTATCGTAATTTTCAACTAGGATTACATGGGGTCTTGTTAAACGTTATTGTTATATATAAATTTTCAACTAAGATGTATAAATGAAATACCGCTTGAGGTACAGTAGGCGGCTTCGGTGGCTTCGAGAGCGGCCATCTGGCGGCTGAGGTTGAGGACGGTGGGGTTGAAGTGTCGGCTGTATACAAAGAAGTCGTTGTCCGGTCCAAGTTCTCCGGCGAACATCCGCCGCATGGTCTCCGGTTCCATGACGGTGAAGGTGGCGGAGGCCTCGATGGACATGTTGACGCCGCCGTGCTCACCGAACTCATGCCGGATGCTGGCCAGCGCCGCCGCAGGGTCGAGTGATGATTTCTTAACAAGCAAGGCGTCTCCTCCGTCGAGGTCGTCATCGCGGTCGTTTCGTTTCTTTCCGGAGAGTAGGAGGGGTTGTTGTGTGTTGAGTACGTGGGCCATAGTAAGGATTTTGTTTAGAATCAAGAAATGTAAAAAAGATATTGGTCTTGACGAAACGTAAGGAGGAGAGGCTCCTATTTATAGATAGAGAACTATAAAGGATCCGTATCAATAGATATAGTATCGAATCAACACATTCATTTCACATGATTAATTAGAGGCTTTGGAGGAATAACAATGACGCTGAATCGAATTGTGTACAAGTATTTTTTTTTTTTTTCAGAAAAAGTGGGAGTCATTCACGTGGCACTACCAGAAACCATTACAATTTTAATTCTCACCCGCACTATGTGCGAGAACATTCGTTATATATGATGTAAATTAAACTTGACTTTTTTATTGTATTGAAATATTAATATCAATATAACAATTTTGAATTAAGGATTTAGCCAAAGAGTGTCAAAATAGATAACTCGATCCGACCTAAACCCATATGGTTTGAGATTTAATGGGGGTTTCACCCGGACTCATATGTTATATGAGTTAAATTTACATATCCAAATCTAAAAATATAAAACTCATTGACTTAATGGATTATATGGGTTACTCACAT